GCAGCCCCTGGAGGCTGGTAGGCATCCAATGCGCCTTTCTGTAGGAACCGCACATCGCATGCTTGCGCGTTTGCTTTACCCTCTGGTACCGTTGTGCCCAAGCTGGTAACATCTTAACAGGGTGTGGGAGCTGCTGATGGATGAAAGCCAGACCTGCCCTGTGGCTTGCCCCTGCAGCTCATACCGTTACACAGCATACGTGTCCCGAGCGGTCCCAGCACGGCAAGCGTGGCATCCACAGGGCTGTGATCCAGTCCGTAGAGCTGCACAAAACAGACCGGCTGTGACACCACAGCAGAGCACTCAAGCCTCTCCGGCTTGACACCACATCGTTATATATTGATGCCATGACACCAGCACTCAAAATAGAATCAGGACAATTTGATTTCCTGCAGATCTCAGGATGGGGTCATAAAAACAGAGACTGTTCTGGAGAAATGGGATAGGGTGGAAATGTTTGTAGTGACATCACAGCCACTTCCATGCCAATGGCCTCCTACTGCTGCAAACATGTGATTGTGATTTTGCTGCACGCTCCATCAGAAAAGAGCCAGGCTGGCCAGGGAGGGAGAGGGAGGGACGGAAATATTCTGTTCTTGTATCTCAATTCAAATATCTGACAATAGCCTTGCAGCCCAGGGTGCTGAGTGATCAGGAGTGGGAATGTGGAGCTGAGACTGCTGCCAGATCAGTGGAGCTCAGGGGGTTACGGAAACCTAACCGGGGGTTGGATTAAGGACCTTTGATTTTGTGGTGGAGGATCCTGGATTGCATTGGGGTGCCTTATTGGAGAGTTGGGTGGTCTCGTTGTTCTCACTCTTCCTTGCTGGTCCCATTTACTTCTAACGTCACTTTTCTTGGCAAGAAAAACTTACAGGCCTGAAATATGGCTGCAAAAGCCACTGCATAGCTGTTGTCTTTTAGGAGTTCTCATTATAGAGAGGAACAGATCTCAGTGTTGGAGTTTCACCCGCAAAGCAGGGAGCAGCAGGGAGGGATTTAAGCAGCTGGGGACAGAGAAGAAAAGAAGGGAGAAAAGAGAGGAAAGAAACAGAGGTCAACCCATAAAACAAAACTAGTTGATGTGTGGACATTGCTGGAGGAAATCTCATGTTGCTTGCCCCACAAAAAGCACCGATGGCTGCAAAGCCCATCTTGGTAGCAAGGTCCTTCCCAAGAAACAGCCTGCAGAGATCAGCCCTAGCTGTGTCCAGCATGCATAACCTTGGGGGTCTGTGAAGGGGAGCAGTATCTGGGGGGCGACGACAGGGGAGCGAAGGGATTCAGCTAATGCAGCCATCTATCAGATTAGGCTGTCAAAAACCCAAAGCGCTTCCATCACTGTCCGAGGAGAGACTCTCACTCCCTGTTTAATGGGATGGCAGTCCTGTTGTTGCCACTCCAGGGAGAGGGGCCACTGCCACCACAGTGTGCAGCAGGCTGTGAGTTTAAAATCCTATTAGGCAGAGGCTAACAGTTGCAAAAAGAAAGCAGGTATCCCCTAGTGGGGATTTAAAGATGTTTAGACATAATTGGATTTTCCAAGCAGATGTCATTATTGTTAAACAGTTGCCCACTTGATATGTTCAAGTTGTTGGCTGTAATTGCTAAAATTAGCAGGTCTGCATAGAGCAAAGGTCAGTCGGTTAATATTGTGATTTAGTATTTTATGAAGTAATTCCAAATGCTTTTATGTATGTTTTTGTTTTTGCAGCCTAAGCCCACATTAAAGTGGTTGTGGGGCCTGCTAATAAAATAATGACTCAGCCTCTCCATGCAGGCAGCCGGTCGGCAGTGCTCGAGCCTCCCTGCTCTTCCCAGTGCTGTGGGCCAGCCAGGGCCACGCGCTTGGGTTTGGTGCTGCAGTCAAATGGGAGGCTTCAAACTGCCCCACAGTGTGATGTGTTCAAGCAGAACTGGTGTTTGCAATGAGCCCATCATGTCTGGTGGTGGCTGGAAGGATGAAGGGTTGGTTTCCACCAGTGACTGAGCAAAAGGCTGTGCCGCTGGTACCTATGGTCCTCGTAGATGGATTAACTGCACATGCAAGTTCATGCAAGCGCCTTCAGCCACAAACACACCTGAAAGCCACACCACTGACCAGGCAAGGTCCCAAAATACAGCTTTTTTAGAGGGAAGAAGCATTTCTGGAAAAGAAACAGAGCTGGAACAGGGCTAGGCAAAAGCTTCCAGGTTGCGCTGTGGCTAGCCATGTGGTGCTGCCTCCTCCAGCACTGCAGCTGCTAAATAGCATGAGAAAAAACTTTAAAAAACTCCTTGAAGGTGTTAGTGTTTCACTGGCAGGCTTAAAGTTAGTCTGATCCCATGTCCTGGGACAGGCAAGCGTTTACTTCCAAGGCAAGGTTTGCGGGGGTTCATTTGTCTTTCTCCGTAACAGAGACAAAACACATTTCCATGGGTGGTTTGGGCA